CCAAGGGAATATTTCCGTTGAAATTTCTGTTGGAACTATTCCAACGGAAGCTATTCCATTGGAATATCCGTTGGAATTTCCATTGGAATATATTACCATAGAATTTTCTGTTGGAATATAACATTTATTTTGTAGTGATTGTTGATAAAATCCAAATGACATTTAAAAAAAAAATATGAGACATTAGTATATATAACCCTAAAAGCAAATAAATAATTGCAATGCTCTAAAACATAAACATGGACATTAAATTCATAAAATAACATTTAAATATTAATTCTTACAAACAACCAAAGTCTTAATCTTTAAAGTAAAGACTCTAAATCTAAAAATAATCGGCGTCAATACTATCATGGTCAATACCATATATATATATATCAAAGTTATAGAGGTTTTCACTATAAAAAATAATTAATACAATTTCACCAAATTCTTGTATCTCAAGAGAAAAAGAAGCATTCTTCTCATTTCACTTTTGGGCTTAAGAAACACAAACGTCCCATAATTATAGTAATTCAAAAATTCAATCCTAGCAATGCAGATGTCAATTTTTCAAACATATTTTTTTAAGAGAAATACGAAACATTATTTAACAATTACCCAAACTAGTACAATATCGTGTACTACATGGGTGCTTGATACAATAACTAAATATACATTAAAAAATTTGTGTATTTTGTTGAAGTTGGAAAAATAAATAAAGAATAATATATAACAATTTATATTAAATAACTAAGTAAATTAATAATATTATTTTAAATTCTGAAAACAAATTTATATATCTCATTAATTTTATTTATCACAATTTTACTTAAAATAAGTAAGTGAATAATATGAACAAAGCACAAAATTTGGAAAGTAAGATTATGTGTATTATAGAAAGAAAGTTATAAATAGATTTATATGGAATGGTTTAAATATGTTATATATGTGTATATGGATGGTAATCCGAACCTAAGTTATTTGGTATATAAAAAATTAACAATTTTTATAAAAGACATATTACAAAGCATAATATTTTG